ACTATTCACTTGACTCTGAAGATGACCTCCGCTCAGGTTGTCGAAACGTCAGTCACCAATAACAGTTCTTTTCAGAACTACCCTCACCCGAACGATCACGGTATACGAACTACTGATACTCCCAGGTTCAAACCACTTACTATAAAGCCTAAAACTGTCCTTTCAGCTTTTGCCTTTTTGGCTATTTTCGAACTTGAATTTTATGTCTTCCTTTTGATATTCTCAAATTGCAGGTAGCAGCCAACAAGCAGGCTCCAATCCACCCTCTGCCTCTGCCTCGCCAGCTCCAGTATCAATGAACCCTGGCTCCGTCCCTCAAATCGGCTCGCACCCTCCCTCTGGCTGTAGCACCCCAGTGTCATTCATGGGATCGAATGCCGCCTCTCCTGCATCAGCTCCCGGTACCCCCAGCAATGTTCCTATAGCTCATGCTACCGCTGGTCAGATGGTTCACGGGCCTGGTGACAATGCGGTGTCAAGCCCAGTGCCTCCGGCTGCAAGCATGATGGAGTGATGAGATCGGAGCGGCGTCAACTTTTGACCACGAATAGTTTCCTTAGTTTTTGTTGTTTCTTTTATAAAGTAATAAATTGTCATTTATGCCAAGAATTGTCACTAGTGTAGTAGCGTTCACTCTAATCCTGTCAGTCTATAGCTTGAGATAGAACTGGTAACAGGGACAGGGATCTTGCCCAGCTTACGATAAACACTAAGAATGCAAACTTCTTCCAAATTATAATTTTTTTGTTTTATTGCCTCGTTCAATGCTGCGATAATGACTAACTGTATACAGTATACTACGGTGCTAGGACTGGCCAGCCCTTAGTGATTAAAGAACAAACCATAATTGTAGCCAGCATTAACATTAGCATTAGCAGTCCCACTGCAACAAAAATCAGTGATACAGTTTACAAATGTTTATGAGTGTTTTTCAAAGGCAGGCCCAATTCCTTTCTAATGTCCGTTTACGGAGCTTAAAAACAAAGGAAAAGTTGAGATCGTAAGCCTTCCAAGTGTCCGCGGCCGCTTACGGGAATGAGTAAATACAGAGTTTCTATGGGAGTTCAAACGGGGTTCTATGAAGACGGTCGTAAGTAGAGCTGCCCGCTCACGAGAGTGTCCGTTAAGAGAGCTTCCACTGTATCCGTGACTTTCGAATCGAGAAGTCTGGGGCTAGTGTCATCACGCAATAGACCAATTTCGATATGTTAAAATTCAGCCTAACACAATAGACTTCAGCTTGAGGCTCTGGGGAATAAACCCCGCAAACTATTCAGTTATTCGCCAGAACTTTTGCTTGTAGAATCGATACTGTTAGCAAGGCACTGACGTTTTATTAACATTCGGATTAGCAGTGTGAATGGTCTTACCGGGAGTAAGGTTGCTCAAATTAACTGTTCTTTCTAATGGAAAATATAAAATTCAGCGTTCGTACAAACCTTGAAAAGTCCTTGAAAAATAACGAAATCTTTCAAAAGTCCTTGAAAATCGACAAATTTAGGTTTTCATCTTGAATAGTCCTTGAATTTCTTGACAGATCCTTGATTTTGATGATGGCAAAGTTAAGGGTTGGAACATTTGACTCCTGAGGGAGGGGAAGGGGATGATTTGGTGTAGGCATAATTTTTTTAACCTGGATTTTTTTTTTCTTGGGGCATGGGGTTTGCATGAAATTTTTTACCCATGTAACACCCTTTTTATCGGTTCACTGAACGCGAGTTAACTTTTGTTGGCAGGGGTCGTGTGCATTCTTTTTTTGTTATTATTTTTGCATAAGTCACAGCTACGTTGGGCAGGGCGTGTCTCCAGTATGCAAGACCACCGCCTGCCAAGGATCGCACTGCATGGTGAACTCTCTACTGGCCAGCGCGACAGAGAGGCACCGAAAAAGCGCTACAAAGACAACTTCAAGCAATCCGGTCCTTGAGCGCTACAAAGACAGCTTGAAGAAAACTCTCGGTATTCTCGGTGCCTGCTGCCACAGTGACCACAGCCGGTGGTCTACCCTTGCAACACACCAGGACACCTGCGGTCACACCATCCAACAAGCCGTCTACTCCTTCGAGGACACCCGTAAGGCAAACATGACGGAGAAAAGACGCAGAGGAAAGGACCGCGATGCTGCAGCACCAAACCTTGATGCGACTTTCATCTGCAGCCGCTGCAGCCGGGCCTGCCAGTCACGCATCGAACTCACCAGCCACGTGCGCGCCTGCAGTCGTGGTGGAAAAAAGAGAAAGAGAGAAGAGGAGAGGGGACAAGGAGAGGGTAAAGAACAAGAAGCGGCAAGAAAGAGGAGGATCTCCTCTCCACTCTGGAGAAGGACCGAGAAGGCCAGCGCATTCTCGGCCCTTCCATCCAGCCCGAGCGTGTTCGCAGGCACAGCTTAGGTCAAGGGCAATGCATGGAAGGATCACATTAGGTGTCATAAGGGCGGATTTAGACAGTTCAACTTAGCTGTATGCTGCAACCTTACCGCAAGTGTAAAACACGAATTATTTCGCGTAAATCAAACGCACAAATTCACAAGCAGGTTGACGCTTTACAAACCATTCGTGTCGGTTGCCGCATTCGGCAAACGTCGCGCTGTTTAAATCGACCCCAAGAAGTCAACCGTAAATGATATACAAAAGCCACATTGATTTGATCAAAAATATGTATATTCTTTTACGAGACATAAAAACAAATGAAAATTCATTATAAAAATAACTTCCCCTTATTTATCTGTTTTCATTATTGACATCTTATTAAAAATTAACTGGGTTTTTAGCCTCTCTGATCAAGACCACTAGTCCCAGGCTAGAAAAACATCTCCCGTCAGCTAAGATTTTATCGCCGAGAGCACACTGGGAACGAGAATGGGACTATATTTCCTCGTTTCCTTGACTTGTGTAATTCTGCGATACAAATATGGGACTAAAAATATGTAAAAAATTCTCTTTACCTAATTTTCACTATAACCTTGGCAACAAGCAAAGTAATCTAGAACAAACTACGTTTCATAAGGATTTAAAAAAAAAAAAATTAGGATGGTCAAACCTTAAGTTAAAAAAGTACAAAAATAATACTATATTTAGAGATACCACACACATTAATTTAAAACCCATCGCTTATTCCATTATTACTGTTAATTAATAGTTTTTTATTGCTATAATTATGATTTTGGTGGAATTGCAGATGTAATCGCATTAAAAAAGCAGCAGTCTACCGCGGAAAAATGAAACAGGGTTCCCAAAATAGGCATACAATGTGCACAGAAAAATGCTTGTACAACATAAGAAAAAGCACGAGTTATACCAGACTTTTCTTTTGTCACATTCGTACCAGTACATGCGAGCTAAGGATTTGTTTCCAAATATTAAACACCGCAATAAAGTACATGTCGAAATATTGACTAAAAAGGTCGCTACGGAAGACATCTTTTAGAAAATCGTCGTTCTGTGTGTAGTTACAACTATTCCGTTTGATAATAATCCGATATAGTTTTTGCAAGCGGCAAAATTCTATCGTCAAGCGAAGCAAGACTAATCGCCATTCCAGCCGTGATTGACTCGCTACACTGGAACCAAATGCTTTAAGCATTCAACAAGTCCACACGAGGAATTCACGAAAATTCCACTGAAAACGCAACATAGCTCCTCTTTTGCATTCACTACACAGCAGTTATGTTAATATTCATTCTTATTTCCATACGGCCATACAGTGCCTTGCTTGTTAGGGCTTGGCCCGTTTCCCAAATGTCTCAAAAAGTAATACCTGATTAGTTGTATTTTAACTTTCAGTTATGATAAGAATCATTTTAAGTGCTACCCACATAATTCAAACGGAAAACTACCAACATTTATAGCAAAATTCGCTTTAACCTTACCCTAATTTCATCGTCGCCATGTTGGTGACAACTGGAAGTTGACCATTGTTACAGTACGTGCATAAAAAAAATTAACATAACCCAATTTATCAGGCTGATAATTTGGGTTATGAAGAATATTAAGAGCTAAAACATGGACAAATTATATCTCCCTGCCTCGTCTGCCAGCAAGATTTCGATCAGTATTTTCTAATGTATCTGATGCCATTAACGATCAATTGTCGCCTCCGATTTGAGCCGATATGGGTGTGGCAACTGAGTAGCCCTTCGCAACATCCTCAAAACGGGTCTCCAACACGAGTGGACAGTTTTGAAGATGTCAAGTAATACTGATTAAAAATTTTTGCTTATTTTCTATATAACTTAAAGACAACTCTATAGACCAATATATAATTTCCTACTAAAAATTAGCAAGTTTACGGTCCTATATTTTCAGAAATTTGCAACGGGTTGTTATAAAAATTTACCTATATACTAAATTTGGCATGATAAATCTAGCGGCGAGGCTTATTTCTGTTTTAATGAAACAATTAGAAAAGCGTGACAACGTCTAAAAGGGCCATTGTCTCGTGTAAATCAAGTGGACTAATGATTTCGAACTATGCTTTGAAACCCCACGACAGAATTAAGTGGTGAAAGTTCTACATGACTACTGAGATTTTACCACCCTTGCCCAACTTAACTAAACCCCGAGGTTCACCCCATCTTTCCCTCCCCACCCCCCTCCCCACTAATTGAAACCTCTTATGTTCCCTGGGCTGTACCGTCCGAAGATATAGCACCATTATTACTGTGTAGCACTTGCTTCGTCGATGAGAAATAGACCGGGTTATCAAATTGTTGATGATCAAAGAGGTGATCTCCCTGTTTCTTCCTGTGAAACCAACAAGCCACTGCCCCGCCACACAATCCAAGGAACACTAAGACTGCTATGGCGATGCCTGCCTGGGCTCCTCCGGACAAACCACTTGATTTATCTGAAATCGCGGAATAAGCATCTCCCATTGAGTAAAGCATTTCATAAAATAACTGAGATACTACGCGCGCTTTCATTGGTCGATAGCTGTGTTTAGATGAGAGAATGTAAACACGGTTATGACGTTTTAGATTCGCGCGTATTTTTTGAGAATTATTTTATAAAAGCAATAGAGTACTTTTTCCGTGTTTACATAGCCTCATCTAAACACTTGGGAGGTTGGGAGAATACTCGAAAATTATGCAAACCCTCGACTGCGTCTCGTGTTTAGATGAGGTTATGTAACCACGGAAAAGTGCTCTATTGCTTAAATAGTACAGTTTTCCCCAAAAGGAAAAGAGCACGAATGCTAGCAAAGTCCTTACGTCAACTTGTCACCATCGATTCGTGTCAGCTACTTAGCAACGCCTTTGCTAAAAAAAAAAGTAGGTCCAATCAACAGAGCCTATGCGTGATGACTGTTCTCATGTGAGTATTCTTTCCATTTTTGCTGCTTTAGGATTTCGTTTCTGATAACTTTTCACATTTTCACGTTGAAAGCGAGGCTTACGGGTGAAACTAGCTTGTCCAGCGTTAACATGAATGATGGCTATTTTCAACCATTTCGGGGTGGGTCACTCAGTTTTATGCCAAATGGAAGAGGGGGGGGGGGTGTTATGTGTTTTCTAACAACTACATTTTCAAATGCTCCGGCCCACCCTCCGCCTATCCCCCACCCCCCTGCACTTTTTGACAAGTCCCTTAGTTACGCAAATCTGGCGAGTCCCTTGAATGCAGAAATAGCTCTCACACAGTCATACAGTTATGGAAAAAACAGGCTTTGTTCTACGTTGTGTCATTTTAGCTTTAGGCATGAAGGTGTAAATTCACAACATATTGACAACAATGAACAATAACTGCTTTACTAACAAACTGCTTCTTGCACCAAATTCTACAATCTGATATTGAGTTTCCCATTGTCTACTTGTTTGCAAGCTGCTTGCATACTTTCGCATACAGCTCCAAGGCTCCCATGAGCAGTACCGTTCACACTTACCAGTTGGACAGCCGTACAATTCTAAACGGAGACATGGTCGAATGTTCCAAGTGCCTGGTACAATTTTAAACAATCGTCCTCGTACTCCAGAGGCAACCCTGTTCTTCACCACTGATGAACTATCTACGTTTGCCAAAAACACCTGGAAAAGTTGACAGCGTTAGCTACTGAGCGCACTAGGTCGAAATGTGTTTGGCTCTACCAAACATCTCGACGAATTTGTCTCCGCCAAACTTTCGAATTGGTAATCGTTGACGCCCTTACAACACCAAATTATTTCAATGACAACCACACCACCCTCGAATTTAGTAAAGATTTCTCTTGCTTAGACCTCCCAAAAAGCAAAAGAAATCACGCTTGAGAGGGGTGATTTACGGAGCTCCAGCGTACATTTATCGAGTTTGAAAATAAACAATAGCCTCCATTTGGCGCGAAAATATGCTCGGATGTTTGTCCGTGGACATTATCTGTTCCGAGAGGCGAACAGTTTTCCGAGAGCGAAGGTCGAGGAAAATTGTGAGCTTCGAAGAACAGATAATGTCCAAGGACAAATATCGGAGCATATTTTCAAAGTCAAATGGAGGCAATTGTGTTTATTACCCTTCAAATACTTTTCGCAACACGCGCAGTTTCGAAAATTGCGGAATATGTATAAATATACTAGCGTTCCATCACGAATGCCGTTCTCTGAATGGCTACGCTACTCACTATCTATTCTGTTGTAGATAGTGTTTGTACAGAGCATATAGGTAAAGTTTTAAACGACTAGTAGATTTATGCTAGTAAAACAAATCAGATCATTCGCTCATATCCGCGATAGTTGACCCGGGCTGCTCACAATTTAATTGTTGAAAATATGCACGCTCGCTCTACTGATTCGGCTCGTGCGGATTTACTACTTGTTCGTTATAAATTCCTTTATTTTCGAAAGTTGTAACTTTCAGCCCGTACTATGCAAAGCCCTCTCGATCGTTCAATCTCAATTTCTAGATTTCGCGAAAATTGTCGGCAATTACCGTGTATTGCTAGTAATTTTTTTAAAAATTCTTTTCTTTCATTAAAAAACGGTCAAATTTAAATAGAAATTGTTTTACTCTGGGAGAGACGCCGAATAACCCACCTTAGGTTTGTCATCCTGTGTAAGTGGTTTCCATGAGCTGTTTTGGGAATCTTTGGTACTAATCGTGTAGCTTTTGATGTATCCCTTGCCATCATCGGCGCCCTGTGTAGCAATGTAATAGACCTTCATGATCCTATCCAGATCAACCTTGAAAATAATAATAACAAATAAGTAAAAGAACATGAGAAGAACAGTCCTGGACAACTTGACAAACAAAAAAGACATTAACGAATTGATGACGATAATGTTGGTTATGACAGCGATGCTGATGTTGATAATGACGATGATGACCATGACGACAGGATGCCGCTGCTGATGATGATAATGGTTGTTGTCGTGATGCTGAGGCTGATGACGATAATGATGATGACAAGGATGTTGACGGGGATGGTGATGATAACATTAGCTTCTACATTATAGCATCATACAAATTATTTCCTTTACTCTCATATGACCCAAATGTATTGACCTTGCGAGAAAAAACCTAATACGCTGAAAAGAATCCGTTTTCGAAGAAAAAGGAAAAGGCGGCCTTCGAGCCATAACACATTAAAGTCACATACCACAAAAGATGGCTTGTTATCATCATCAGATGCACACCACCCAGTACTTCCATTCAAACGGCCTTGAGTGGCCGCGTGAGCCTGGTCTAATAACGAACTCGATGATAGGGCCCAGTCCTCGATAAAGCCTTGTCTTAGGCCAAGGGCTGAGTCACATCCTGAAACAACACCACCCTGAAATTAGACTAGTCTTGCAGAGACTCTCCTCACAAACTACGCGTTTTTCTGGCTTTGAATTCGCTAGGGTGTAAGCAAAATGTTTCTGCCGGAAAATTAAAAGCACATCTTCAAAATCTCAACTTATACCTTGTTTTATGACAAGAAAACAACAGAGGCAAACTCACCGTTTTGACAACCAAAGATTTCAAGACGTAAACACGCGCCGGCTGTCGACCAGGACTGTGGCTTCACGCGCAAGGCTAGAGTTATGATTGGTTGGGCCAGGAGATGCGACACAGGACTAACAGCATCTTGGTTACCACGGAAATTCTGCAATGACAAAAACATGAATCAAACAATGGATGTTTCCACTGACGCATTCTTCATGGCATGCTAGGAGCATTTGTGTGAAAAGGTACATTCCCCATTTTATCCAAAATTGACCCCCCTCTATGAACCAACTTCTGAATTTCACAAGCGAATGAAATTGCGTTTAAGTTAACTACATGCCTTACAGAAAATTCTGTACTTTCGAAATTGGGCCAGGTGGTATGAAAAGTTTCTGGGAAGGATTCTGGGACAATCCGAGAATTGCTAGTCCAAGCAATCGAAAATTCCAGAAATATGGGAAGCAAATTCAAGTGGAACAGAAAGTTCAAGTAAGAAATTTTCGATCTTTGGGTATACCTCGCGACGTTGTCCTGTTTTCCGAAAGTCTCAAAAAATGCAGACCTATTCACCACGGACAGTTATTTCCAATGGAAAATGCCACTTTTCTTTGATTTCCATACTTTGAGTTTAAACAGCAGTTATTTTCAGTTGTTTAAGTATTATGCATTATGCCAAAGAACATTTGGACGAGTTAAAGCAAAAATATTTTGTTCAGGTTTTTTCACCCATTTTTCGTCTGGTTCTCCAAGAAATATTTGACAGTAACGAGGAATGAAAGAGCAAATTCTAGTCATAGCAATCCACGACCTTTAGAGGAAAGAAACGAAAAACAGTTTCACGTCCTTCGAAACAGCCGCTTAACGAAGTTGTTTGCCTCTTTAAACTGACATCCCTACCATTTAGAGGCTCTCAAATCACCAAGGCATGATGCAATCTCAAAAGGTAAACTAGTACAATAAAGTGGTATGAAACATTATGCTTACTCTTGTTTTGGCTCCTTCCTTGTAGTCGGTCCACACTTTGTTGTCACCGACCTTCCTGAGCGCCAGACTGTAGACCTTGACATAACCGAATCCTTTGCCTCCTCCCCAGGTGGTTACTTTGGTAATTTTTCTCTCCATATCGGAAAATGATATCTGGAACCAGGGCTGCTTTTCAGAAGCCTAAGGAGAAAAAAAAATTCACGCAACGATCAACATGTAAGCTCTCCTTACAAAACCAAAATATTATCTAGCAAATCTGGCGAAGAAAATTTCAACACTTGTCAACTGGAGTCCACTGCCTTGATAAACCATGTAAGAATCTGATCTGTTTACATGTAGGAAGAAACCTATCCAAAGCAAAAATTACCTTAGAACACCACCCTACACTTTGAGACGGCCGGGCGTTTACAGCCTTATGCGAGTTGTCCTTGAATGTAGAGGCGGAGAGAGAATTGTCCGGTATAGCACCTGATTGCATTCCAAGAGGCGTCTGGCAAGCTGCGAAAACACACATTCATGACAGATAAAAATCACATCAAAAGGGTACCACTTATGTTTTTTACGTACTACAATGCAAATTAACCATTTGATTTCTCAGGTTCTTATATAATGAGGATTTTTGACATGAACTGTATGATCACATGACTAATTTGTGACACGATATGAAAAAGGGTAGCTCTCTTGAATAAAACCAATTGACTGGAAAGTATTTTATACCACCATTTGCTCTATCTCAAAAGGATTCCTTAGGCAAAACTGGTAAGAATTACTATGGAATGAACTCGTTTTGCATGGCAATCAAATGCAAGTGACTCTCATTTCCGCATGAAACGCCAGACTTCATTTAAGTTAAACAGTGACTAATGATATCTCGGAAATAGCTCTTAACAAAAAATAAAAAGGCGAGTATGCAGCCATTTATTTGTTTCTTGATAATAACCGCCTGTTATTTGCTATTTATGACATTTGATTTCCTCTTACCAAACGGGCAGCCATAAAACTCCACCCTCATGCAGAGAGAGCCAGTCCATGTGCCTGGAGCAATCCTTATCAAGCGGGTATCCACTGTGGGTTTGAGTGAAAACGTGACCACCGAATTCGTGTCACGGTTTGCAACAAATACCTGGACGAAAGAGACGACTGAGTTAAAATACTTTTGTTGGAACACACGCCTCTGAGCAACTCACTAGCACTTCAAAGATATTTCTGTAAAGGGTTCTGTCCAGGATATGTTAGCGTTCCGCTGGGAAAAATTTTTTACATCACCACGCTCGTCTCCAGAGCTCCTCAAATCTCTAAGATGATAGGGTCTGTGCACAAGAAGCCCTTCATTCCTCATGCCTAGAGTTGCTCTCTTACCCAGTCTCTTCCGTTCTTCTGGTAATTGTTAAACGTAACACCATCGTCACTCGTCTGTAATGTAAACGTCTTAACAAAACTTGAAACTCCGTTCAAAATGAACCCTTGTGTTGCGATTTTGGTGAGGCGGGTTTCTGTCAGCAGATCGACCTGAAAAAAAAAGTGTCCGCAATGTAACGCACTTTTATCTAGTACTTAACTAGCCATTTTCACTTCCTACAGGTTTTTAGAGGTCGAGCAGAATTGAACCGCTGGTTTCGGGTATCCTTACATGAAAGTGATTTTGAGCTTCTCGAAGTCACGCTGAATCTTGTGAGAAAAGGGACACGGAAGGCAATTCTTAATACAAGTTGCTCCGAAACAGCTGACAATGTATTCCACGTACTGATGCCTGAAAAAAGGTGGGATGACGAGGCAAAGCTCAAAACAAAAGAAATTTTGAAATGTCTTCTTTATTAGCAGTGATTTCCTTAGGTATAATTCTACTGGACCTTATCCGCCATAGCCGCCATGTTTGTTTTCATATTAAAATGTAAATTAAGCTCGTAATTTCGGAGGGACGTGGGGGGGGGGTTAATAATAAGTTAAAATCAGCAAATTTCAAGGGGTTTCCGAACATTTCTAATAAATCTTAGCTAGCCATGTCATGCTGTTTGAACACTAGGATACAATACTCTAAATTTTCAGCCATTTCGGTGCATTTATAAAACAAGTGACTTGCAAAGTTTACAAGTAAAAATATCGAACTATTCCAAAGTACTCATCCATTTCTCAAAGATCATTTTGGCACAAACGTTTCACTACTCGAAGACCACATCATGGCTAGTTTGCATTTACGAATAAAATATCATGGCGGGTAACGTGCATGAATAAGGTCTATAGAGAACATATTTTAACCAATCGAGACAGTGTTTCATCACATTTAGACACATCTCCAAGTTTTAAACTGTCTTCTCAGTTTTTGATAGTCATTTCACATAATCTTTTTTTCACACACACAAAAAACCGAACACGCTCTCTTAACAAGTGTTCTTACCTGAATGTACTGCCCATCTTGTCCATTGCTGGCGCACCAAGCTGACAGGGAGTTAAGTCGAGCCATACCTGGACTATATGAAGGAGCTAGACTGGAACTAGCCGTAACCTGGTCACTCTTGATGGCACCGCTGGCCATGCCCAGAGCTGCAGAACACTCTGAGAAGATATTAAGTAAGGCGTCTTATTATATGACTAGCACCGTGAGCGGACTAGATGTATTAAATCCTGCACTGTGATTGGCTACCCGAGTGGGCAAGACGGCGCTATCTTACGATCAGCGGGGTCGTGCTGTATTTACAAAGTAAGCATCACGTAAATCAGATTATTATACAAAAACCTGACTAAGACTGACTGAAATGAGAGGGAATCAAAAAATGCAACTGGAATTAACAAAGTCCGATTCCTTCAACGGATCTTCAACCCTTTTAGCTATCTTTATCTATCGAGACACACACCTAGCGGTTGTTTGCAAATGTAGCCTCGCTTGTCACCACAACGCTGGTCATTCCATCCACTGCTCGGAGGCCACATCTCCACACAGTTTTCCAAACCCTTATTGTCGCTGGGTTGACCGGGTAACCAATTCAAATAGGCCACAGGACTACTGTCAGACCAGCTAAAACCTCTCTCAAGCGCTCGATCATTCAAACCTGGACATTAATCAAAACATTATTGTTAAAACTACTCACTACTCTCTTTGGAAAGTTTCGAAACAAAAGACACCAATTATTAACAACTTACTGCATCTGCGCACGTTCCTTTAGCTCAGCTTTTGAGCTAGTGAACTCTTGTTGAAATAATATAGCATAATTTATCACATAGTAGTAATTAGGAAATAGAAATCAATTTAAATTGTTATTTAGCATTGTATAATAGACCATTTTACAGTTGTCTGCTCAGTGACCTGGCCTTTGAATGGCAGCGAGGCTGGAGGTGACCTTGTTTTGATACAGACCTCACTGCTTTTGTTGTGTAAAACAAGTTGTTCTGATGGTCAACTCCAGCCTCGCTTCCATCCAAAGGCCACGTCACTGAGCAGACAACTGTAAAACAGAGAAGTGTAGCTAGGTGTAGATAACTTAAGTTACTATTGTAAATAGTTGAAAGTTGTAAAAGAAAGTAAAGAACAAGTAGAAATGATATAAAACTACTCACTACTCTCTTTGGAAAGTTTCGAAACAAAAGACACCAATTATTAACAACTTACTGCATCTGCGCACGTTCCTTTAGCTCAGCTTTTGAGCTAGAGCTATAATCACAAAAATTAATGCAATGCAATAAGGTTAAAAATAATACGAATACGAATACTAATACTAATACTAATACTAATAATAATAATAATAATAATAATAATAATAATAATAGTAATTTATCACATCCGCTCGTACTTTGCGTAAGGAAATATGTCACTCGTCAGGTAAAGGCGTTCTTAAAGTCAAATGATTACATACCAATCCAGATATTTCCAGCTGCCTTCTGTTGGTGGAATGTGATGAAGTCTTGCTCCTGTTGTGATGTGATGCTTGCCAAGTTACCACCCTGGTTTTGGCACTTGTACCTGGCTACTGTCCAGGGCTGCAGATCCGTGTCTTTGAATAGGTAGCAGTTCTTATCAAACTTCTCCCAGCCACTGGGACAACTCCCCAGCACTGGAACAATAATTTAAAGAAAAAACACACACAAGATGTTATCTCTTTTCATCTTTCATCTAATGGCGTCAACGTTCTCAGATAGCTCTTTCATATACAGCTGTTTCGACAGTCCCACAAAAGAGTATAAGCGTACGCAACAATGTCGCTTGGTATAATGAGCTTAGCGCCGCTTGATTGAGGTTCACGGAGTTTCAGTAAGAAGAAGAAATCATGAATACAAGTGTTTGTGCCATTATTATTATTATTATTATTATTATTATTATTATTATTATTATTATTATTATTACTATTA